TCTCCCTTATCACCCTTGTGTCCCTGTAAAGAGTAGAGCAAGATTTAGGATCAGTATTACATTTAATGAAAAGCACACACACACACACACACACACACACACACACACACACACACACACACACACACACACACACACACACACACACACACACACACACACACACACACACACACACACACACACACACACACACACACACTCCCTATCTCGCTGGCACACACACCGCCTGTCCGTCTCTCCCTTGCTGTCCTGGGGACCCGGGGGCTCCGGCTGGTCCTTGTGTCCCTCTCGGCCCAGGTTGAGCTTGCCCAGGTAGATGGCTGGGGCCTGGGTGTCCAGGTGGGCCTCTGGGTCCAGGACTTCCACGCTCTCCTTTTATCCCATGTATGACATGACCCTAAACATCCATACAAAATATAACGTCCATGAGTAGAGAGCAGAGAAGTTTTTATAAAAAAGATACTGCTGTGCAAAAATAATTTGGATTTGTCATCATTTTGAACAATATAATATAAAACGTCAACTCACATCTCTGGGTCCCTCCCCTGGCTCCTGTGTCATGTGTGGCCCTGTACACAGCATATGACATCATCAACAGATGTGACCAATCAGAGTCTGGCAAGGTAACACTGTCCAGGCTGTAGCTTGACATAAGGGCCACTTTTTCATTTTCCCAACCAACATTTATCATGCTAGTCCCGTAAGGACAGAATCGCAAGCCTGCTTTCCTTAAGCTTTGGGCCACCGCTGCCCCTGTTGAGGCAGCTATTGAAAACATTAGATAGTGGTCTTCAGTGAACAAAATCCTACAAAAAATATCTAGTATTTTAGTAATGGACACAACCAATTAACTGTTCAAATGTAAAAGCAATGTCAAAAGATTAGGTTCAATTAACTTTAAAGACTACAGTTAATATATTGGTCTTTCATAGAACTGTCTAACTTATCTAGAACATTCTATATTTAGTATTATTTGTGGTTCATGTCATTTCTACTGTAGATATAATACACGTGCTGTTGTTTATTGTTAAATTTAATTTAATTAAAATGTTGGGATAAATAAATTCTCTATCTATCAAAACCTTGAAAGGAAAATGAAAAGAAATTAAGTGATTCAGTTATTCATTATAATCTTAATTATTCTTTTTACTTTTTTGATGTTTCTAAGCCTATATAACAAAAAAAACATCTGTAAGTTAGGGGGGAAAACAGTTTTGCTCTGTGAAATGTTATGTATTTGTTGTTATAATATTGAATAATGGAGAGCTCCAAAATAAAATCCCGTAATTATATTAAGCTTCTCAGTTCAAGCAGTGGATGAAAAAAAAGTAACTTGCAAAAAAGGTCCTGGCAAAACTTCCTCTTTTGCTTTCTTTAAGCTTCTGTACAATTCCTACAGAAAATAATAATAATGTATATTCAGTTTTATTCTGACCTTTTAGCAGCATGTCTTTAGTGGCCTCTGTTGTAGTCTGCTGACCGGAGAACTCCTCCAGCTCCATCTCCGGGGCCTCAGTGGGTGGAGCTCTGACTGGAACACTGTCCTCCTCCTCATATTGATGAAGAAGAGGACAAGGTCAAAAGGTCATTCGAATAAAAGAAAAAAGAGACATTTGAGAGAAATACCAAATCATTTGACATTTTGTGCTTTTGGTGCCCCTGTTGTTTATGCAAGTCTCTACCATGTCATTAACCATACATAACAATTATTTAGCTTCTGAGGGACTGGTGTCTTTGAAGCTTCAAAGTCAATGTTGATTATGGGATATTTGGGGTCAGCCTGATTTCCTGGTTGAGGGGGAATGAAAGGTTGTCCCGGAACAAATAAGTAAAACACAAATCAACTTGCACAGGAGGAGTGCTGTTTAGGGTCATGATGATAAGAAAGGGGGGGGGGGACTCTAACACACACTCGAGTGTATTTTTCAAACAGCAAATACTGCATTTAGAGCCCTTCCTGCTTAAGTGTGGGCTTCTAAAGAAACCAGAACTCTTTCTCGCAGTTGTTCTCATTTACAGGATATGTCTTCCAGTCAAATGAAGATCTAAAACTTTCGAAAGATATGATATCTCCAAAACAAAACAAAATATTTACTCAACAAGACCTTTTTCAGGTTCTCATTATCCAGCAGCCAATCCAGCTAACTTACCTTCTTTGTGCCTTGTTTTCTCTCGTGTGTGTTCTTCATCATTTCCTCCTCTGACTCTCTGTCATCCAATGCATCATCTCCACTGGTGAATCCCGAGGCCTTTATTAAACATCACATGGTGTGTTAGTTTGGGGAAAAATTAGGTAAATGACAAACAAATAATTAGGTAGTGTCCCACGTTTTGCCAGTTAAAGATAATGTTACAGACAATAAGTTAAAAAAGTATAAAGCGCTTCCTATGGCAATCATGTAGGAGGAAAAACCAAATAGTTGTCTGATTACAGCAAAGGTTTACTCATGATCATTAATCCAGCTAATAGGTACTTTGTTGAGGGAAGATCTCTGACCACTAGGGGGTAACGTCGATACATTTGTGATTTGTGTACAGAATTTTAAACTATAACTTATGAATAGTACGTTCCTGTGTGCCAAACACCTATATTGTGTTTATGTGTGCATTTCTCACATAAGGGTCATCATCTTCACACTGCTCCTCAGCTGCTCTAGGATCATCTTTTATCACCAGCTGCTGAATGGATCCCTGAAGGGAGAGACAGAGAGCGAGAGGATTAGGAAAAACCTTCAAAAACTGCCATCTTGACACCTTAACTACATACTACATGTATATTCACTCAGGTTACATGGAGGAAAAGTAAAACAAAAAAAACAGGACCCAAAATCAACGAGCGAAAATGTAAACTTTTACCTCGGAATATCAATCATGTCATTCGTTACACAGACATTATGGAAATGAGAATGAGCAGAAAGTTCAATGATTAACTTTTTTAAACCTATCAACAATATCTTAAACAGTAAATGCTGGCTTTACCTCCAACAGCTGCAACAATTAAATACGACTTACACATCAAAGCAACATAATAGTAATTTAATCATAATATTAAAATATTTAATAGCTAACAAAGGAGCCAATGTTCTGCATATTGAGTACGTTACGTTTAAAGGAACCATATTAGTAACCATAATTGTATTTTGTGCCTCTACTTTGACATGCCTTAATATTCAAATGTGCTTTATTTTTCTCATACTGCCTGTGCTGCAGCCCCTCTTTTCACCCTCTGTCTAAAACCAGAGGCCTGGTTCAGAGATGTCCCGCCCCTTAGCCTATCGGGCACAATGGAAGCGCAAGTGTTGCATAGTGATGTCACTATGTTCCAGAAATAAACTAAGGAGTCCAACGATGCGTTTCATGCATGGGGGAGTGTTTCTGGGATAAACTCCTTCTTGTGTAAACTTTGGGATTTTAGCCTTTGCAGACTAATTACATGCACAAAAACCTATATAACACACCCAAACCCCAAAAGGCATAATAGGGCCTCTTTAAAGTTAATAAGAATGTACATTTTGCCCATAATACTCACTCTTCTTTCGCAAAAGAATGTTTAACGCACCGAAGTTGTATGAACATTTTACTGTTGTGACCTAAACAAGTGCTCTCTTTCTCTCTTTATATAGTTTGAACAGAGGAGCAATGCACACACAATGAAGTACATTTCCGTTAATACCATCACCTAAGAGACCGGATTTCCAAAAATGTACCTAAACAACATCAATACTCGCAGCATGGTGATAAAAGCGCAAGTTTATAAAGTTTATATGGTAACATGGAGAGAGATGTCGAGTCCTACATTTACAACATTCACACATACACACACATGCTGATTAAAAAGGGCCCCATGCCATGACTGCTCCACTTTGAAGCCCATGACAACAAACCAAGGACACACACACACACACACACACACACACACACACACACACACACACACACACACACACACACACACACACACTTCCGATTGGATGTTACCAATTCTGAGCATGCACACATTCTGTCGTCATGCTTCAGATAACCCGTTCAATAAGTCAGGCCACACTGAACAAAGCCTTCCCCTCACCATGGCAACAAGTGACTGGCAGCTTGGGTTTATCTTTTGTAAGTGTCGTTAACGATGGTCCAAGGGTGATTCCAGTAATAATGTCAGTTTGAAGAGAGTTTACTTTATTGTAGGTGTACATTATGCTGTCACCCCATTGACTTATAGAGGACCTTACTACACAATCCCAATTGGCGGCAGACTCAAAGGCCCGAGAAAAAGCCCTTGATCTGACCACAACTAAGCTTTGTTGACATCTCAGACTTCCTCATCTGCCATCAACTTACTCCCCCGTCCTCTCCTCCCATCCTCATCTCACTCCCCTCCCTTCCTTCTTTACCATCTCTTTGCTGTCCTCCTCTTCTTGCTTCCTCTCTGATCTTTATAGTTGTATAGCATAGAATATAAAACAAGTAAGCATGTTCTTATTATAAAGAAATACCTTGCAGAGACTGGCTACTAAGTTTTGTAAGCACTTGTTGCCTTATAACTTGTTAATAGCACTGTACAATTATAATTTATTTTTTAAAGTGAACAATAAAGTTAATTATCACAATACATTAATATAATTTTTAATTGAATCTTTTTCAACTTCACATAAAGCCAACCCTGATCACTTATATTGACTTGTAACCATCTTATAATGTATTTTTTCTAAAAGTTATTTCTTATAATTTATAATCACATAATAGTCGATACTATAAAGTGTTACGACACAGTATAATAGTAGAACATTTTTTTTACAAGGGACAAGGTTTTTAGTTGTTCTGCATGTTGCTTACACAAGATACTTATTGTAAAAGCAAAATAGTATTTTCTTCAAGCATTTAGTTCAAACATAAATTATTTCTGTTTTTCTAAAATGCTGGACATTTTTCAGAAGACACAGACTGTAGGCAGATGACATTTCAGCTCTTTTAATGAGAGGCCAGAACACACAGGCACACACCTACAGGAACACATGTGATCTGAAGCCTACACTGACAAACTGCACACTGATATTGACAAAGGCAGGCATCATTCTTCCTCCTTCTCCTTGCCCTTTATGCATTCTTGTCCTCACTCAGTGACATTTCTACATTTAAAGGATTTTGCAACCTACCACAAACTTGTTGAGCCCCGTGCCTCCTGCATTAGCTACGAAAACTCCTGAATTGTGCGAGAAGTTGAGTCGTTCTGGTCTGCGATGGAATGTCGTCCTCTCTGCCTCGCCACAGTCCATGTAGAGACGGACCTCATCTTGCTCCACCACCACCTGATGGAGGATTATATAAAATACACCAATTGTTTAGTCATTGAAATGTTCATTGTTGTTGATAAAATATTATTCTAATATTTTGTAAAAAAAGGATTGGTGAGGATGTAAGGATTCAATGAATGTGATGCCTTAATTTGTTATCATCTAAAAAAAAACAATCCTTAAATCAACCAAAAAAACAAAAATACATTTCAAAATAATACCAATCCATTAATTGCACAATTAACTGTTTTGGTGTGAAGGTATACCATAAAAAGTTTGAATTAAAGGTTTGAAGCAACTGAAAACGTCTCCCTGATCTTATACATTATCATTAACACAGACAGCACATGATGCTCACCGTGAATCGTGTCCACTGCTCGGTCATATCAGGGACACTAAAGGAAGCAGCTTTTTGGCTGTGTGAAGCTTGTTCCTCATCAGTGTAGTATAGTAAGATGCTCTGGAGGCCCCCCCGTACCGGAGTGAGGGCCAAACCCAGCTCCACCACCTTCTGACGGGCATCTGTGATGGCGAAGAGGACCCCTCCTCTCTGAGAGGCTGGACGCACCTGGAGTAAGCGCAAGGCAGGATTCAGAGTCATCTTTCCCACATTATAGGAACATTATAGACGTACCATTTAACATATAAATACAGTAATGTACAATACTGAAATTGACAGACATTCCAGTACACATATATTTAGAAAATGTTTGGGGAAAATAGAAACTTTTTAGCACTGAAAATATAGGACTCTTGCTTTATCGTCAAACTGACACAAGGTGACTGCGGTCAAGCCAGCCTCCACTCGGGAAAACCTAGTCAAGCCAGCCATAAAAAAAAAATCGTCCCTCTGTGTTTAGATGAGAATAAAACAAAAACTGTCCAGTATCAAAGACTCATTTCACTTCAGGGTGATAGCAGGACATCCCATGTAGTCACTCAGAAAAAATCAGGACATTCTGATGTACAGTTTCAAAATAAAAGACCTTTGAAGTCTCATATATGAGCTATCATCCCTGTCCCCAAAGGTCTTTTATTTTGAAACTGTACATCAGAATGTCCTGATTCTTTCTGAGTGACTACATGGGGTGTCCTGCTATCACCCTGGAGTGAGATGGATCTATGATACTGGACAGTTTTTGTTTTATTCTCATCCAAAAACAGGGATGATAACTCATACAATAGAGATTTCAAAGGTCTTTTATTTTGAAACTCTACATCAGAATGTCCTGACTTTTTCTGAGTGACTAGATGGGATGTCCTGCTATCACCCTGAAATGAAATTAGTCTTTGATACTGGACAGTTTTTGTTTTATTCTCATCTAAACACAGAGGGATGATTTTTTTGGACTCTACCGTAATGCATAGGATATTCGCGCACCGCAATATCACGTGAGGGCTGGCTTGACTAGGTTTTTCCGAGTGGAGGCTGGCTTGACCGCAGTCACAAGGTGGCAACATAAAATATATTTACCATGAAAATTGTTCAGAAGAAAATTCATGCAATGTAAACAGTTGCTTATCGTATACTTAGTTCAATTTGTGTGTAAATCACTGTATGACCCATTAAAACAGAATGCGGCATACATAGGGTTTGAAAAGGTTGAAAAGTATTCAGTTCTTTAGTTTTACCGTAACAATGATGGCAAAGTCTCTGTAGAATGAGCCTGGCACGAAGGTCTTGGTGAGCCGACCGATGTTGGCATCAGGCCCGAGGTTGTAGGCTGGAAAACCCTCATGGCCAGGAGTAAAGGAGACGGAGGGAGGGAGGGGCACGCCAATTAACTCCGTCAGGTCCAGATGACCTGCTGAGCCTCGCTCTATCACAGAAGGAGAAAATGTGTAAGTGGAAACAAAGGAGTAACATGTAGCATCCTGTTTTTCTTGACATGGGATAATTTCACTTCAATATCCTTCAATAAGTGGACCTTATGACCTAGATGCAGATAAACTTCTTTGGCGGGTGTCTGAACCCCAATTAAAACGGGTCTTCTTTGTCTGCAACCTGTGTGTTGCTGTTTCATACAAGCAAAAAAAAAGAGCTAGCTACCGGAATCATCTTGACATGACTTTAATTTGACTTGATTTGATCCAGACAGTGCCCACGCCTCACTGCTCTGCCTCACATGGACATAATCCTCCGAAAAAGAAATGGCAGGTAATTAGAGTATTTTGTGTGTATGTGAAGAGATGGCTTCACATTGTCTTGATTCCCCCCACTAAGAGTATGTCTCCCGTGGCGACTAACTCTCACCTTAGCATTCCGGGCGAGAGCACCCCTGCTACCTATACCACTGTCATGCACACATAAAATATGTACACACACAGATAGAAAGTATTTTGCATACATTGTGCACACATCAAATACACACCTCACCCACGTTAACATACACGCATACACATAGACCAGAAAGGCCAACATCTTGGGGTCTGTTCATCAACCTGGCCCACTGAAAGCACCTGTGTGTGTATGTGTGTGCAGCACAGAAGCACACACACAAGTAAAGCTCTGCACATTTAAACACTTAATGTTGCAACAGGTGGGCACTCAAGATGTGCAAACTAAACACTCACAAACACACACCAAAGTGGTAACACACCTCCAGTCCAGATGTGAAGTCATTAGTTCTCTGTGTAATGACTGAGAGGAACAGACTTCTGTGAGGGAGCTCATGATACAACCAGCAGGCTGTCCGGTGGCCACTGACTGCAAAGTTTAGCTTTTTATCCCTGACTGTGACTGTGAGACACATTTGAATATACCTCTTTATACAACTTAGTGAATCCGGTCTGATAGTGACATGATGGCAGCAACATGTTGGTGATTACCAGTCATGACTTGGAAAGCAGCCATTTCAAATTGTTGCTACTGTGAAGAGTTCTCAGCCACTTTGGCCAGAGAAAGAAGAGGAAAGAAGGGCCAAATATTGGTTTGTGACTGTGAGAAAAAAGGAAAGGAATTTCTATCAGCACATTTTGGGAACAATATGCTAGTCTTGTTATACCTCAACTGAATAAACAACTTACATTTAATACAGATTTTATAGTAGCTAGATCAATTTTAAACTTTAAAGTAGCTACACTTCAAGCCAAAGCTGATATAGCAGTTAAGCTACTATTACTTTGCTAAGCTAGTTACCTTTTCTCAGTAGGCTACGAGTTTGATCAATTCCAACTGTTTTTATTCTTCATGACCATATTTTTCCACTGCACACTCATCTAATGTAACAACAAACTGAATGACCAACACAGTGATCAACATTTATTTAATTAAATTCTAGGAAAAAGCTAGGGGCAGAAAGTCAGTAAGTTTAGCCTTAGCCAACGCTAGCTGCGACTATATTTAACCAATGTTATTAGCTACAACTGAATTTAGCTTCCTTAATTAAGTTGTGATTGTCTTTTTTAGTTGGCATGAAAACATTTCGATGTTAAAACACATATTAAGCAGCTGATGAGCCAAATCTAGGCCTTCACTGCCCATGAACAAACAAAACAGATAAAGATCCACCAAATATCTTGTGAATGATTTGTGATTGGAAAACTGATGTTAAACCTTTGTAAAAATATTTTTTACACATATTATCTTCAATTAAGTAAACTTTTTCGGGGTTTTATGCAAAGTATTAGGTTTTTATGTGTGTAAACATTCACACTTCAACATAAAGCATGTTATGAGTTAAGATTAAGCAATAAGGTTGAGGGAATATGATACAACCTTGAGAACAAAATACTGTGGTCACTACCGAAAGACTAGATGTTATCAACTAAAATGATATGATACTGATTGGTTTAATGTGTTCAATTTCAACAATAATCAACTCTGGAATCAATATGATCAGTATTATGCATTTTACAAAGAAAAATGTCATTGAGATTTTTATGAATTGTATAAATTGAACTTTGAATTTTGATTAAAAATTCACTTTTATTTTTTTACTACAGTACTATGTTTCGGTAGTGACCATTTTTGGTAGAGGAAGAACATTCCAATACAGTCTGACAATACGATATACAAAGGTACGGTTCTTTTACTAGATATGTGTAATTCAGATATGGTACAAAATATATATGGACAAAGTTTTTGGAAAAAAACATACAACATTTTAAAACATTTCCAACCTGACTTTGGTCCAATTCGGTAGAATGCCCCCTATAACTAGTAACAACGAACATGACAGCCATTGGTCCAATCACATTCTCATGACATCATGTGGTATGGATTTAAAATAATAGACTTTGTAATAATTAAAATTGTATTGTAAACATATTTTATACAAATGTTTTAATGTGCAAACACTCAGCCGCACTTATTATTTAAGAAAACTATTACCGTAATAAAAGACAAGTTAAGTGGTCAGTCATGCGTCAAACAATCATTAAGTTAATTGCATACAATTCTTCAGTCACCAAATCAAACACTTCAGTCATCTGATCTCTCCTTCGTTTTGCGTGACATTTTTCAACTCTAACTCCCTCCTCAAGAACCTAATCCTCATCACGTTGGCCGCATGGACGCTTGATCAGCTTGAGGAGACTTATAAAGCCAATATTAACAAACCCCTAGCGTTTCCATGTATAACCTTTTAAACCCTCCTTGACCCTGATGTGGCACAGACAAAAGCTCCCTGCCCCACTCTTTCTCTAGATTTGAAAGATTCCAACAGTTTTAATGCTAAGCACATCAGGGTACACTAACGGCCCGTCCACACGGCGGCGTGGGTTGAAGCTTCAACGCTTCTGCCCATTCACTTTGAATGGGCAGAATGGTCTTACATAGTAACTGTTCAATTGTTGAACAAGACATTTCTCCAACAACTTTTTATTGAATTATTTATTTTTATTGTTTAAATCAGACATTGACTAAATTGCTGGTAACTCAAAGGCATACATCACCTTACATAAAAGTTGACAGTTCTAATACCAAATATGAAGCCACTCTTAGCTAGAAATCTGCCAATGGGAACTCTTGGGAAAATAAACTATTGCACTCTTAAACTCATCAGTGAAACTCACCACTTTTCCAGTGTTTCAGGGGTTTGCATTGGGCCCTAGCTTTGCTGCCAGCACCTGCATTCTCCTTTGGAGGTAAAGTCCCAGGTACTGCAGTGCTTTGACCAAAGATTTCCACTCCAGGGGTGGGTGTGAGGGGCAGTACAGACCCCTCTGTCAGAGTGCTTGTCTCCGGGGCTTTCTCTGTCACCCCGTCCTCCTTTAACATCCATTCTGCTGTCCCTGGGATGTCAGAAGAACCCAGGGAGGTGATGGATGGAGAAGTGATGTAGGAAGGAATGGGAGAAGTCATAGAGATTGTGGTGGTTTTAGGTTTTGCCCAGATGAAATTCCACCATTGGGCTTGAGCGGGAGAGAATGAGAGGAAGAACAGAGCAAAAGAGAGGCGAAGGGCTCCCATCCTCTCACTTTGTCTCACATGAATAATAAGCCGGTCCTGTTAACTGCATCTATAAACTGCAACCCACGTGCCAACAGGGATTAAAGCAATACAGTGCTATGTCTCCATCTATAGAGGATGCACTTGCAAAGACCTGCAGAGTGTGTTTAAGTAACTCTGAGTATTCCACGAGGTCCAGTGCTGCAAGAAATATTCAAGGAACGGCCTTACAGCTCCTTTCTTTTCTCCTCTCGTTATGTCCTTTTTTTCTCACTCCGTCTGTGTCTCTTGGTCGTTTGTGACTCCCTGACATCTCTGTCTTTTTCCCCTCTCCCGCCCCTCTTCTCTCCCTCTTTGTAATTACCGACTCCCCCTCCTCTGGCACACACAACACAGCAGACTTCATTTTCTCTCCTTTTTTACTCAGACAGGCAGATTAGAGAGTTAGTTAGTCCATCCTCCTCCTCCTCTTCCTCCTACTTTCCCATCTGTGTGTGTGTGTGTGTGTGTGTGTGTGTGTGTGTGTGTGTGTGTGCGTGCGTGCGTGCGTGCGTGCGTGCGTGGGTGAGTGCGTGAGTGAGTGTTAGCTTCCCTAGAGCAAGTGGTACTGTTCTGTATGAATAAGGTGTCAAAGGGTGAATGACTCGTAGTATGCTTTGAGGGGTCAAACAGACCTGATAAAGAGCTGTATAACTTCACTCCGTTTACCATTTGCAATCAAAAAGTTCCACTATCTCATATTGATAATAAGAGAAGATCCATTTTGGTATTTGTTATAGATTTGCTCCAAAATGTAATTTACCAATTCCACACCCTTCGACCAGGTTACAAGAAAACCAGGCACGTTTTCTTTAACCTCCGAACAAATAGACAAACTCTCATCTTGTAAAAGAGATCCTTTAGGTTTAAGATTGCATTCAAATTCACAATGGCGCCTACAGTATATATTTAAACTGTCTGAGAGTTATTGCGTCTCCATCTGTGTGTGAGAGGAACGAGAGGGAGGTGAGAACACAGAAAGGATTTCTCACGAACATGCAAAGATGAAAACAATTTTGAACAAATTCCATATCGTGCTATTTATTACCTTCGCTGCTTAGTTGCCAGGCAAACACTGATTAATTTCTTTGGTGGCAGAACGGTAATAGAAACAGACTCTGATTCAACACCTGACGAAGTGAGAATTTAGATTTAAAGACATTCAAACAACCATCAATCAATATCAGGTTAAAAGCACCAATACAATAATATAACATCATTTTTGTTGTGTCAATGTTTTAAAGCTGTGTCGATGGTTTCTGCAGTAAATGCTGTCTGACAATAGAAAATGTCTGCCGTCATGTGAAATGAACACTGAGCCTTTCCAGTAGTTTGTGGTGCGCAGAGATGACTCAGGGATTATGGGGCTCAAGAGAAAATGAGAAAATGTGAACAAACAAATAAATATTTAAAGGAGGACAGAGAAGGATGAGGTTAGGAGGGAAATGAAAGAGTAGTGAGTAATCTAATCTAATCTAAAGATGTAATCCTGCCGTTGTTGCCCTCTATCTCTCTCTCAACAACCAACATGCAGTCTAACATGGACCTGGTGTCGAACTAAATGAGACACAGTGGAGCAGGGCTACCCCCAAAAACCCTTGTTGATGCACACTGTTAAACCCAGATGTAAGGGCACGATATGTCAGTTTGACGCATTCTGGTTCTGTTTCTGACCCTTGTGTCTGAGCTCTTGTGGATTTTGGGTTTGAATGTATTGACTTCTTGATTCTCCATTTGCCAACATGGGTTTGGCTCGAAAAAGTGATTCCACTGCTTGGTTGAATACTCGATTCCAATTGGTAGATTTGGACCTCCTTCATTAGACTGGTTAATGGAAATGAAAATGTAATCAGACTTGGAGAGTTACAGAAAACGTTGCTGTCGTCACAGTTCCAGACATTGGTACGAACTGGAACAGACTGTTTTTGGTTATGGAAGCAATTAGATCATTTTAAAATAATTTGAAATCAATTTGTTGCGTTAAATTACTCTATGTAGTAAGCAGGATAATATGGAATAACTGTTGGGGTTATTTTGCTACGATAACCGGCTTGTTACTCATTATTCCATTACGTATGTACTTTTTTGCCACTAGGGGTCACTTAAACAAACAATAACTCATGACAGAGTTTGGGGATGTAAACATAGCATTTTATAATGAGAGTAGGTGTCTTTCAACCATTTAGTTTAACTTGATTGGTAGGTGAAGTATTCTCTTGAACACCCACACTGACATGCACAGTTTGTGTCGTGTGGAGCCTCTAACTGCTTAACGCAGCTTTTGTGTGTTTAAATATTGACTGTGTGTGTGTGTGTGTGTGTGTGTGTGTGTGTGTGTGTGTGTGTGTGTGTGTGTGTGTGTGTGTGTGTGTGTGTGTGTGTGTGTGTGTGTGTGTGTGTTCTCTGGGTCATACTTGGGGTCTTTTTCAGCCTATCCCTCACACCACATGTACAGTACAGCATGACAAGTCTGATAAACATGCACACAAACTTGGGATGAGGTACTTGGGACTGAGGATGTGGTGAGATAACAAAAGGCCATATCAAAACTGAAATTAGTCTAAAATACACTCGAGGAGCATTATCAGGGAGATGTCTTTATAAGGACATTAGGGCAAAGCATTCCTTCCTAGCTAGATGTAACATTTTATAAATAAATTCAAAACATTAAAAGAAAATAAGAAAAACTTGTCATAGCCAAATAGCTGTGTAGTAAAGTGGGGTTTGGAGCTTTGCAATGCATTATGCTTAGTATATCCTTTAATTAATTAAAAACTCTGTCTTTTGCATATTAGAACATTTTTCTTTCCTATTGACATTTCATTTATGTATCAAGCATGTTTGTGCATTTATATTTCTTACTGTTTCTAAGACAAACAATTAAGCTTCCCTTTATTATTCTGGGTTTTACAGTACAATGCAACTTGATTCACTTTCACGTATTCAGTCTATTTTTAATGGGGTCAAGTGTTAATGGGAATATATAGACCAATATCAGAGAAATCCCATCAATTTCCTTCCTTAAGACCTAGTCATATTTCAGAGAAAATGCTAATTTTCTATATATTTTCTATACTTCTATATTGAGACTGTTCTTAAGTTGCTTATAAATAGAGATTTGTTTTGTTTTATTGAAGACTGAGAACACTAACCCTCCCCCTTTGAATGGCAGAGCAATAACAAAAAAGCCTTGATAGCATAACATACAAAAGTCACATGACTAAAATTAAAAAATAAACACAAAAGGTTGAATGGAAGCATTTATAAGTGTAGACTTTCTCTCTGCTGCAGCTCACTGATCAAGGAGAGAGGCAGAGAGGCCCCGTATTGGTGATGACAAAGAGATGCCTGTTCTGTCGTATTGTGCTTCTCTACATGTTTGGTTAGGACCAGGACGAGGGATGGAGTGCTTCTGAGGATCATTGGGTGGAGGTGTTTGTTTAGGCGGAAGAGGGGTGGGGTAACACTATATGTGATGGACTATATTTTAACACCTCACTTTTAAGGAGGAATCAAATTGCAACCTGTACTAAATACAGGAAACAACTGAAATATGCAAGGTTTTATGGGTGCCGGATATAGATGAAGATGGTGACATCAGCATAATATAGGCAATGTATAACATAAGAGAAGGAAGGGTAGACTGGCATTTCTAGCATTTGGCGTTCCAATAATTTGTATTCATATTTACAATTTGCATTACAAAAAATACCATCATGTTTATATGATGGAAACACCACTGATGAGACTCATAACAATTTGGTATCCATCGATATCAGAGATGCTTTTACTCATTGCATATGGCACATTTAGGCTCTTTAGGGTTGGACACATTGATTAACGCACTTTTATATACTATATATTTGTTGCACTCCCACTTTTTATTCTTACCCATGTGACATCATCCTTGTTCTTTCTCCTAACTGCCTTACCTAGGGGTGGTGGGTTGTAGGTGTTGATACATTTGATCAGACCCTGGGAGCCATGCCGGTCAGAGCACACTGACATAAAGACTGTTGTGGGAGGGAAAGGGTCGGTCTCTAACGGAGCAGATGATAGGTTTAAGATTTAAAGAGAGGGTGAGTGAGGAGACCCCCCAGGGGAAGATGCTTGATTAGTCATGGATTAGCCAGGGATAAGGTGGTGTGGAATGGGAAGGGGTGAGGATGGGTTAGAGGGGGTCAGGAAGAAAGGGGGGACCAAGTTCTGGGGTTATGGTTAGGGTTAGTCTAACCCTATTAAGCTGAGGTGTTCCGACTATAATGGTTGGCAATTATACAGGTTTTATCAAGGGGGAAATACGTTTTTAAAACCGTATCAATCAACGTTTTACCCACTTGGGGGCAGCAATAAAAACTGTAATAATTACATTTACATACTATAACTATGAACTGTAAAAAATGATTTGTTCAACATGTGATATGAAGACTTGAGTTTGGCACCAGCCGTCGCCATATAGGTTTTTCGAACCAAGAGGGTGGAGCAAAGTACATCTGAACTTTGAACAAGAGATTTCCAAACGACCAAAAGGTTAAATTAACTTTCATGAACAGAAAACCGATTGAAGTTTTAGGATGAAAATAAGAATAACACCAAGACCATGTCACACTGTGGTAGATACCTGTCAATCACAAGGTAGCCATTCCATAAAGCATAAGCTGCTTTATTAATGATTTGAGTCTAAATGGGTCCATAATATTTAAAATGATGTACAGGTTAAAGAAGACTTGAAAATAGCAATTGAGACCACAAACAAATTAGGAAAACATTTTCTGTGGTTAGACTTCTAGACAATCTGACTTCTTTCTGCAACCAGTGGAGTCTCCCCATGCTGAAATAATATACGTGTAGTGCACTTCCACATTGCATTCACTTTTCAGACCTGGATAACTTATTAATTGAAGCAGTATCATGTGTTGTTTTTTTGGGCCACTAGGGGGCAGCAGTTCACACTGTGGTTATAAAGTACAACATACTACAACCTTATAAAGTAGTTTTGGCAATATTGTTAGTACACAGCTGGCTTTTAAAACATCCAGAAGACATGGAGCAACATTAGTATTCATTGGGAGATGGCCGATTGATGAATGTCAGTCCATTATTTATCCTCCTTTTAGTTTAGTTTTGGTCTCCAGCAACTTTTGCTGTTGAATTCCTAGAGGCTTTTTGAGAGTAATAAGAGTAAACGGTAAAGTTAGTGAAACAATATGCTAAAAGACCCTAAAGACACCGGTTGGCA